CACACACCCACCCACACACCCACCCACCCACACACACAAATGGGTTGAAGAGCGAGGCATCCCCAATACGAGTATGGAAATTACTCTCTGGGGCGTCTCAAAGACATGTATATTTAAAAAAATTTTGAGAAATAAAAGTATTTATTAAAAAAAAGTATTTATTATAACTGTAATACAAGACTCAATAGAAGCTGTCCAGAGTTATCAACTATTACGGCATATGATTTTGAAGAATTAAAACAGAAGATATTGAATCTACAATCGAGATTGGTTATAGCGGAAAAGGAAATAGAAAACCTACTTCAACAAAATACCAACTTAACAGATAAAGTTGCTGCAAGAGAAGCCAAAATTAACCAATTAAAACTAATACCGTAGCTCAAGTATTAAACAACGCAAGAAACGGAAGGAAATCTATGAATCAAGATCATTATCGGTTGTAAATCAAAGCTTTGAAGGACATAATGCAGGGAACTCCTAAAACAAGGAAAAACTTGTGGAAACAAACCAAACAAAGAAGAGAAATATCTTTATTCTAGGAGATCAGCAAATACGTGGTTTGGCGATCAAAATACTTGAATATCGCTATGGAAAATGTAACGACGTGTATAACGTTACCAGCATAATTAAATCTCAAGCCCAAAGTACGGGCATTATGACGAATTTCAATGTAAGTCCTGAGAATATGAATGAAGACGATGTAATAATTTTATCTGTAGGCTCTAATGATAATGATCCATATCTTTTATATAGTAATGTATGCAATTTTCTAGTTAAATACAAGAACTGTAAGTGTCTCCTAATATATGTAAAGACAAATCGAAATCCGTAATAGTCCCAGTATATAAGGGAAAAGGGTCGCAGCAGGACTGTAAAAACTACCGTGGCATCAGCCTTCTTAGCATTGTGGGAAAACTGTATGCTAAGGTACTGATTGAAAGGGTCATGAAAGAAACTGATGGAAAAATTTGGGATGTGCAAGCGGGATTTAGAAAGGGAATGGGATGTACAGATCAAGTCTTTTCCATGCGCATGATCGCGGAGAAGTTTTTGGCCAAAAACCAAAAGGTTTTTTGTGCGTTCATGGACTTGGAAAAGGCCTATGACAGAGTGAATAGGGATGTGCTATGGCAAACACTGAAGTCATTTGGGTTGGGCGCTGGCTTGATACAGGCATTGGAGTCCCTTTATAGGGACTCTAGTGCTTGTGTTAGGAACAACGGGGTCTACTCGGACTGGTTTGACATCCATAAAGGTGTCAGACAGGGCTGTGTGGCTTCCCCGTGGCTGTTAAACCTATTTATGGACAGTTGTTTGCAAAATTTGAAAGTTGAAGAATGCGGATTAAGAATGGGTGAGTTAACCGTCAAATGCCTTTCATACGCCGATGATCAAGTTATCCTTGCGTCGTCGGAGGCCGAGTTGCAAATGATGGTTACATTAATGAACAGATCATTAAAAGAAAGGGGAATGAAAGTGAACGCAAGTAAGACGAAGGTTATGGTTTTTGAAAGAGAAGAAAGTAAAACGATTTGTGAAATAAGAATAGAAGGGGAGTTGATCGAGCAAGTAGATGAGTTTGTATATTTGGGCTGCGTATTCAGCAGGGATGGAAGATATGATAAGGATATAGAACGACGAGTGAATGCGGGAAATAGAGTAAATGGGGCCCTGCACTCTATTGTTAAGAGTCAAAATGTGTCGAAAAAGGCACGTATGGCAATTCACAACGCTGTGTTGGTCCCTACTTTAACGTATGGTAGTGAAAGTTGGGTGTGGCAGAAGAAGCACGAGAGTAGAATGAACGCAGTAGAAATGCGGTCGTTAAGGAGTATGTTAGGGCTGAATCTTAATGACAGGGTAAGAAATTGTGTAATAAGAGAAGAGTGTGGTTTACAAGATGATGTTGTGACCAGGATTAAGAAAGGAATGCTTCGGTGATTTGATCATGTGGTGTGACAAATTTATGTTGCAGAAGTGAATGGCAGAGTCGGAAAGAGACGTCCTAGGCGAAAATTTATCGACCAAATTGGCGATTTATTGAAAACGGGCCAAATTAGGAGTACCCTTAACCGACGAGCATGTATGCGGAGGTGTATGGATGTGAAGGAGGCGAGAGAGGTGTGTCAGGATCGTGCCAAATGGAAGTCTGTAGTCTCTGCCTACCCCTCTGGGTGACAGGCGTGAGTATTTATGTTATGTTTTACAAATAGAAATCTAAATGTAAAAAAAAAACTAAATAATGATCTTCATATGTTGAGTAGGAAATATAACAACTGTACATTTATTGACATGAACACATATAAACATAATAATTTTAAAACACATTTATAAAAGCTGACATTCAATATAAATATCGAAATTGATTACATAAAATATAAGAATGAATTCATTAATTAAAAAAAAAAAGAATTAAGACACATTCTAAAAATGAAAATTCCAACAATCCCTTGCCTAATGCTACTTTAAATAATGTACCTAATGAGACACTTCGTTCGCA